TTTTGTTGTTTTCACTTCAACTTCTTAAAAAGGATTTTATTGATAATTATTGATGGTTTCATCGAGTTTTTATACGAAAAAAATTAAAGAAAATTGTATTTTTCACTTCCGAACAAGGTGAAACGCTTGTTCAGGATAGTGAAAATGACTGTGATAAATGGCGTGCTTTTCCATATGCTTCGAGCAATGCTGCATCGTATGATGGTCAGCCTACTGGTGAAACTGACGCTCATCTCATCGCACGTCTGAGTTTTTTATTAAAAATTTTTTTAGCTAATTTTATGGCGTGATGATTGAAGAAAAGGACGATTTTTTTGGCATACATGATGCAACAGAAACGCCACTCCCAAGGCACATGGAAGCTGCAATAAATCTTCGATCGCGATTCGCAAATTGTGGCTATCCAGGCAGCCGTATTTCAGGTTCTGCGATGGGCAGTACTGCCTTGAATCTGAGGTATTTCACTGAATGGTTGCTTGCATGAATGTGATTTATTGTTCGAGCCGAAATTTCTCTGATAGAAATAGAGAGGTGATAAAATTGGATTTCAAATAAGTGAGTAATTCCTCCGTTTTATATAATATCAGAAGAGTATTGTGGAAAGGTTATTTTTCTGCTAAAGACAGTTAAGTTCCCGAACGAGGAAAATGAGAAGACTTTGACTTCAGATGCATAATTAGCAGCAATTTTGCGTGTTTGAAACCAACTTCCATGTTGTTTTGTTTATTGGTGTAATATCCATCATTGGATGCCTCTTTTTAAAACATTTTCCGATGCTCTCATTGGTACTGTGCGAATGCTTTTGCTGAACAAGTCTTGGCCCTCGTCGTAGAAACGTGCGAAGAGCCGGCAAAAAAAAGTTGTTTCGTTTTGTTGCCAGCAACAACTCCCATCAGTAAATTGAATTTCCCTTTCTTCGTTTATGATGCGAAGCAGCACAAATTTGTTGCCGAATGAAAGCTAGCAAACACAACGTTACCAGTTTTCACTGAGCATTAAATTTCTTGCTTAGCAACATAACCCTTTATAACTTGTGAACCATACTTCTCTCCCGATTCTTACCTTCAAGCAAGATCTTAGACCATTTCTATTAATTATTTAATTATTAATATTAACTATTTCTATTAATTATTTCTATTAATTATCTCCGTCTCCCGATCTCCTGTGACATAAACCAGCATCTCCGCCCCTCCCACCAATCTCTGCCCTTACCCCGTCGTTCAGTTGGAAATCGTAGTCTAAGTTCGATACCGCCTATAATCTAAAAAGGCATATCGCCAAGATCACAATTTACGTCGTGACTTAGCCGAACCGATTTTTAGTAACTGTCCTTTTCAACTTTTTTTTTGACACCGAGAGAACTCCAGGCTGAAATGGCGGTCCTGATAATTGAGGGGAAAAGTGGGCGAGTGACAGCTATGAACAATACTGAATTCCATTCCGCCTCTTATCTAAAAAGGGTATACCGTCAAAATCGGAACTCACATGCTGATAGTTGTGCTAAGGCAACGAATAAAGTTGTCAGCTATATTTACTTTAATCGCTTGTTCAGATGGAACAGGCATTCATCACAGCCAGAACTTGATCGCGCTCCTCATGGAGATATTCCGAAAGACGGGCGCGCAGAAGTCGAAAGT